CCCCACCCCCACCGCGTTGTAGTGAATGCAAGTGCCGTTACTCCGGCTGAGCCCCACAAAAATTCCCCCCCAAAAAATGCCTGAACTCCTCCCAGCTCATCAGTATGCCACTGTTAGTCGTTCCACACAAAGGATAAAGAATATATGACCAAGTACATTTGTTTTCTGCTTATGCGTTGCTAACAGAATCAATGTGGTGGTTTTTAATACACAATAAGTGTCATTCTTTTTAGTTTTCAAGTCGGACTCAATAGTTACAAGCCTTTTTTTCTGGACAATTGCTGAATATTTGTCAATGTGTAGCTTGCTGTGGTGGACTGGTGGGCGAGTGGTTAGCGCGTCAGCCTCACAGCGCAGTTAACGGGTTCGAATCCAGCTCCGGCCTTCTTGTGTGAAGTTTCCATGTTGTCCCTGTCTGTGCCTGAGTGGGTTTTCTCCGGGTACTCCGGTTTCCTCCCACGTTACAAAAACATGCATGGCAGGCTGATTGAACACTCTAAATTGTCCCGAGGTGTGAGCGTGAACGCAGATGATTGTTCGTCTCTGTGTGCCTTGCGATTGGCTGGCAACCGGTTCAGGGTGTCCCGCACCTACTGCCCGAAGACAGCTGGGATAGGCTCCAGCACGCCCCCGCCACCCTTGTGAGGATAAAGCGGATCGGAAAACGGATGGATGGATAACTTGTTATGAAATGACATCAATTGAGTTCCCTGCCAACATTCGGCGCTCGTTTCGCAATTTGCCCCTCAAGTCAAAGCAACGAATCGGCCCCCATCTCGAGGAAACCGAGTGTCTCGTATCTCAAGGCACCACGGTGTACAGGATGGCAACAAAATGAGGAAAGAACATTTCATTGGGACTTTGTTGCAGCACGTCCGACTGAAAGAAAAAAAGATTTCTCCTTCCTGCGTGTTACGGCTACCTTGTGGTTCTGTCGCCAGCACTGCGTCGGGAGCGTCAGCCTTCACCATCTCCGCATTGAGAGACTCTGTCACCGCCACACAAGCGCAAGCCGTGGGTACGGAGAAATATGCTTGGGCATGCTCGCGCGGGAGAGTGAGTGTGCGCCTTACGCTGGATGCTGAAGCAAAATTTCTTCTTCTGGTATGAAATGTAGCTGCTGATGGCGCCCACCAGCGCCATTCCCACCGCGCTCACGATGCCCGCGATGGTGCCGACCTCGGCGGTGGTCTCTGCGTACATACACACAAATAGTCAAGATTGCACACGCAGCCAGGGCGCCTCCGGTAGTCTTACCGCTGTTGTCGTCACGTTGATTGACGTGATCGCGATCACCGCTCGGTCGTCTGCCTGAATGGAGGAAAAAAAAACGTCAACGCCGCTACGCTCGTTTGTCACACTTTTGTCTTCGCGAGCAAGCATTGGCGGTTATCACCTTTGCCTTTGTCGGGTTTGTAGCTGTCGTCTTCGCTGACGTCAATTAAGTCCCTGTCGGAAAATCCTCCTGGACGCACACAAATGCACATGCCGCGGTGGGTCCGAGGCGTAAAAGAAACCTGCTTCATGCATATGCATAGCATTGAATGCAGCCAATAACCAACGGAATCAGGAATCAGTGCGGGGGGGGGGGGGGGCTTCATTTGTCAACCTTTTGACCTTAACCCTAAATCTGAATGACCCACCTCCAGGCCGGCCCCCCTTGTCCTTGTCGGTGATGTCATTTTTGGGGTCCAGAGCATCTGCCAGGTCAAACTCATCCAAGGCTGCCGGGGCAAAAAATGGGCAACGGGTGGAAACGTGGCAAAGGGGCAAAAGCCAAAAGAAGCGAAAGGACAAGCCGCTTGGCCGCATGCCGGACACAACGTGACACCACCGGCTTACCTCCTTTGCCTTTGGACTTGACCGGAGCTTTGGTGCCTGTAGGGGGCAGTGGAACACATGGCTGGGATGTATGATTACTAGATTATTTGGATTATGATGATGAGTGTTTGTTTACCTGGCAGTGGAGCTGGTGTGTCGGGTCGGTCATCAGCAGAGACAACATGAGGTCAGAAGCATCACATGCGTGCTCAACACATTTGCTACGTGCTTCATATTTGGTCAGTTTCTGGAAATGACACTCAACTGGCTAACATTCTGTCTTTTGAGCCATGACTTCTTGAGACTTTTGGGGGCTCAACTAATGATCGTACAGACGTGTATTGCTGCTGCCTCAGAAACAAAAGTGGAATATTAATGATGTCATGATATAAAACATGAGTTTGACTTAAGTATTGGGCAAAACAATTCCTTCCAGGTCAGGTGACCGATAGCCGGAGTCCTGGTGTCTTTAAAATTGAAGTTACAATGTAACTAGTAATTACACTGCTCTTCTATAATCCTCTTTTAAAAAAAAGGATTTAAGTAATTTTGAAAGAAAACAAGCATATCTTCGTTGGGCTCCACCAGTCACCTCAACTGGAAGGAATTGCTTCATTTCGTATTGATCAATGTGAAAGTAAAACTTGTTGAAAAGTAGCACTGATTTCTTTTTTTTTTTTCTGGTGTGGTAGCAATACACTCGTACGTTCGATATTTCTTCCACATTTCATGTTCAGTCAACCTGTGTTTGGGGCAGAATTTTCAAAACTTGAAATTCCCTTCACATTGCTGATTTCTAATGTTGCGGTCGACTTTGGGCATGGTGTGTCACCACTTGTGTGTGAGGACCTACTTGGCGTGTTGGCACCGGCGAGAGCGTCGGCCAGGTCGAGACCCTGAGGACGCACTGCAGCAACGACAAAAAAAAAAAAAAAATCTAAATCAGCCTGCCAGAAAACACTGGCTTTCTCTGCTCACAAAAGGACGACAAAGGGCTTTTGTTCGCCTTCTTGCTACTGGGGGGGGACACAACGTGAGTGATAGCCTTTTTCATTTTCTGTCTATTGACCATTCTCGTCATCATTATTATTATTGCACGTGCCTTTTCGTCTCCTTTCAGTGAATTAAATTTAAAAAGCCATCAACTGAAAACAAATGGGCTTTCGACTCAATGATGGACGAGTGAATGATGTGATCACAATGAATGAACGAGACCGTTATTTTTGTTGTGGGCCTGCGCTGCGACACAAACTCGGCAGCACGCATGCGTAGGACAATCGGCGCCTCTTCTTTTTGTTTCTTCATGCTTTTTTTTCCATTTACCTTGCATGACGAGTGTCATCATCATCAACGTCATCGCCAGCAGCAGCGGGAAACCTCCGAGAGCAGGCGCCATGACCGAACCGAACCAAACCGTCCACGAGCTGCCCAAGTATCAAATTGGAGCTTTTAGGGGCGCGTCCAATTGTACACCCTGCCGCTTCCGGTGTATTCTTACAAAATAAAGGCAATGTTGGCGTCAGTTCCGAAGACAAAATAACCTTTGTTGTTCTCTCATGCACAGCAGAAAGCACTTCACAAGTGGATGTGACAATTTTAATCGGCTAAAATTTAAAAATAACCTTTGGCAGTGCATTTAATCAACAAAATCTCGCGATAGGTTATGCCAAAACGAAACGCTGGAGCTCGCAAAATGAGTTTAAAAAAGAAATAAAATTGGAACCTTTCTTTGGGAAGGGAAAAAGGTCCAGCCAAGAGACAGAAGAGGAGCCTTCGACTTCGAAGAAAAAAGAGAAATGCTGGCGAGCCGAAAAATGAGTAAAAAAACAAACACATTTGGAAAGTTTCTTTCGTAAGTGGAAAAGGTCCAGCCAAGAGATAGAAGAGGAGCCTTCGACTTCGAAGAAAAAGAGAAATGCTGGCGAGCCGAAAATGCCGCTGCAAAGATTTCTCAGAAAAAAAAGTCACCGTTGGCTGCACATTTCAGCGACGGGGAATGGATCCCTATGCATGCTGACTTTTGCGACATATTCAGCCTGCTCAATGAAATCAAATTTGTCAGTCCAGGGGAACATGACAACTGTCTTCAAGTTGGCAGATAAAGTAGCTGCATTTGAAACCACATTGGATTTGTGGGGACGGCGTGTGAACAGAAGTATATTTGACATGTGTCAAACATTAACAGGCAATTTCCCCTCACTCATTCTCCCAACTGGTGTACGATCACCTATCTTTGTTATTGAAAGCGTTTGAGCGCTACTGCTGATTCAGCATTGTGGTGAGTCGTATTTTTCATGCACTTTAAATTTGCCTTGTATCTTATTTTGAAGGCACGTTTAAACGTTACCTTGTCGACCAGAGAGCGTTGCAGCCAGAGACGACTATACTCGTGTTTATTATTATGTTTAGAAAATACCAAGGTTTTCATGCATGTCCTATCACATTATTTTTGTTGTATTTATCCGCCACACCATAAAGGCCGGTCCGTGGGGCAAAAAAGGTTGGGAACCTCTGACCGAGGTCACGATTTTAAAATGACCTAGGAAATTATGCGATTAGGCTAACGATATGCAGTTGGAATGCAGCGAAGAAAAGCAGCAAGAATAGTAAGCAGCATTTTATCACTGGTTATCTTATTTATTTATTTTTTTACTCAGCTTCTCACGTCACGTGCGTTACTACGTCACCGGAGATATCAATTATAGCGAGTGGGCGTGGCTCCTGTCATTGGCGACGGAAAGGAGCCCAAAAGCCGGACACAAGTCAAAAGCATGTCACACGCCAGCCGATCCCGACGCAAGCGGCAGCGACCACATGGGGGACAAAGAGGCCACCAGGTACCTTCCAAACACATCTCTCCTCCTCCTTTTGCTTTTTCTTTTGCTTGCGCTTCTTGCTGCCCGCAGACCAAAGTGCTATGAGCATGTTATGCTCCAAACGCAAGTTTTGGCTTTTCCTAAAATAACTTCGTCAATCAGAAAACGCTGCTGGAGCTAGAGTAAGCGGAGCACCCTCCTCATTCGGCAGCTAAGCCTAGAAAAAAAAAAAAAAAAAAAAGCACATGAAATTTAACAAGGCGATCAGGTGATTTAGGTAGGAGGATGCTGATTTAGCACTTCCAGCTGTTTCGCGATCTTTACTGGATAGGGTGGCATTGCTCTTAAATATTTGTCATAGTAACAGGAAAGCCTCAAAGCTATAGTGTGCACTTAAATTTAAGGAACAAACGTAAAGAACTCTCAAGAAAACTTTCTCAAAATTTAATCACGTGCGTCAAACATCTTTGGCTGGCCCAGTTTGAGGTGCACTTGATGACCCCATCAGGGAAAATAATAAATAGCACAAATCTAACGTTTATTTTCCAAGAAGCACCAGTAACACGCACGTTCACCCTTCACAAATTGTCGCGCTCCGAAAACAATGGCTTCCTGTTGAACATGCGGATGTGCTCTCAATCTGCTCTTTTGCACTTTTGCCTGATCCCTCACCAACCTTTTTTTTTGGGGGGGGGGGCGGTTCTGACTTCTTCCTGGACACTCAGGACCACGAGAAGCAGGAAATGTGACGTGGGGCACATTTCCATGTTTATTTGACATCACATGTCCTTGAAAGATTTCTCAAGGCCAACCACTGCAAGCAGGAGGCAGTAAAACTTGCACAGCAGAAATCTAAAGGTTGACCATCTGGCCAGCGAATGACTTGCTGCTTAAGAGCAGTTTCAGGGCGCCCGATTTAGCTTTGCGTTCTCCTCCGTACAACGCTGAAAATGAACTGTGAGGAAAGCGTTTGAGCATTGCTCATCTCCTTCCAGAGTCTTCAAGAAGAGCAGCCCCAATGGCAAGGTAGGTTCGCCGCCGACGTCGCCGCATGCAGGTGAGCGCTGACGATCCTCCAACCCACAGCTCAGCGTTTATCTGGGCAAGCGTGACTTCGTCGACCATTTGGATCACGTGGATGCTGTGGGTGAGTGTACACAGATGCGCGCGTGCACCAAAAAAAAAAAAAAAAAACTTGCAGGGTGACGTGGAGATTGTTTGCTGGCGCAGACGGAGTTGTCCTGGTGGATCCCGAATACCTGCAAGATCGCAAAGGTAAAAGAAGAATGCATGTTCTCCAACTTTTTCCACCAAGTTTCACCATCATCACCGACATCGAGATGCAAAAGTGTCGTAGGCCTCCGTGTTCATCAAAAACAAGCGTGGTTTTACTCCGAAAAAGTATTTGATCTTATTGTTAGCCTCTATAACATTATGCAGAGTTTGAACAATGGTGCAGCACTCAAATAAAATAAAAAAATAAGAGCTAAAATCATTTTTCAAATAACATATTGCACATTAACATTTAAAATTGTACCTAAATACAAGTTTTGAAACAGCTAGTTCCTAAAGATTAAAAGGGAATGCTTTGAAGTATCAAGTTAAATACAACTGAACTGTACGTATACAGTGATCTATTTTTTCATACCACTAGGGGGAGCCAGTGTATCGCGAGTGGTTTGAGAATCACTGCTCTGTAACGATATGTTGTTACCTTGACTTACCGTGTTTTCTGCACTATAAGGCTCACCCAAAAGTATTCATTTTCCTCAAAAGGCGACAGTGCGACTTATAATCCGATGCACCTTATATTTGGATCAATATTATGATTTCTTGGAAGTAGTATTTTAAATGTGCTTTAAAGTGCTTTGCTATAGCTGCAGCGGGTGTGAAAGCTCGATATAAATAAAGCTGTATTGTATTGTATTCCCTTTAATCTAGTTCCATCCAGTGGATGCATTATGCAACCGCAGCCACGATTGTAGCTATCTATGCGCCTTATTATGCGGTGCGCCCGATATATGAAAACTGTTTTCAAATAGGCCATTCATTGAAGGTGCGCCTCATACTCCGAAGCGCCTTGTAGTGCAGAAAATACGGTACTCATTTTTTATGTATCACAAAAACTTGGCTTTTGAACAGGGGTGTGTAGACTTTTTATATTCACTGTATATGTGATTTACTTGGTGCTTAGATGCAATTTACATTTGTTTGCCTCAAAGTGGCACGCGAAAGACTCACTGCCCGCGTACACTTAAGTTATCTTTAGCATTCGAGTACATTCTTCAAATGTTGCAACTTGGTGTGAAAACGAGGAGCCGCTTGTTGCACGTCACGACAACAAAGTCGAACATATTGCAAGTGTCGTTTGGCCCGGCAGTGTTCGTGAGCCTGGCGTGCGTGTTTCGCTACGGTCGGGAGGACGTGGATGTCCTCGGGCTGTCCTTCCGGAAGGATCTCTACGTCAGCACTTTCCAGGCCTTCCCTCGCGTTCTCGATCAGAAGCCGTTAAGTTCCCTCCAGGAGAAGCTGCTGCGCAAGCTGGGCCAAGACGCGCACCCCTTTTGCTTCAGCGTAAGGCCGACGCATCACGTCAAGCACCGGGAGTTGCTCTTTGGGGAGGAGCTAATGCGCCGCCGCGCCTTCAGGTCCCACAGAACCTGCCCTGCTCGGTCACCCTTCAGCCCGGACCCGAGGACACGGGCAAAGCGTGCGGCGTGGATTTCGAGCTGCAGGCATACTGCGCCAGGACGGCCGGCGAGAGGATTCATCAGAGGTTGCCCGATATGGACGACGGTGCCGAGGACAACATCTCCGACTTGATTTTTGGTTTTTTTTTTTCTGCTGTCTTCCAGGAACTCTGTGCATCTAGTGATCCGGAAGGTGCAGTACGCCCCGGAGAAGAAAGGCCCGCAGCCCACTGCGGAGAGCAGCCGAAGCTTCCTGATGTCTGAGAGGCCGCTGCACCTCGAGGCGTCGCTGGACAAGGAGGTGATCTTTTGACACATTGGAAACTTGTCCTCAGAACTGAGCATCAAATTTTGGCAAACCCGATGGTTCTCGTTCCCCACGGGCCGGGCCATCGCAGTATCATCATGGCTTCACTTTAAAAACAATGTTTCAGCTCCATTCGAGCATCGGCGTATTTGGCGTCACCTGTCCTCTGAGATAAGTTTCTCTGATGGGAGACCAAATAAAAGTCAAATTCTTTCGACTCACAATGGGTGGCTGGTAACTGGAAAAAATGCTACTGTGTAAAACACGAAGACTGCCTGTTTTAGTCACAGTTAGGCTAAATATATTATTTTTATGTTCAAGTTCCTGACCAAGAGCCCATCCATCCATTTTCTAATCCGGTTTATCCTCACGAGGGTCGCGGGGCGTGCTGGAGACTATCCAAGCTGTCTTCGGGCAGTCCACCTTGAACCGGTTGCCAGCCAATCGCAGGGCACACAGAGACGAACAACCATCCACGCTCACACTCGCACCTAGGGACAATATGAGTGTTCAATCAGCCTGCCATGCATGTTGTTGGAATGTGGGAGGAAACCGGAGTACCCGGAGAAAACCCACGCAGGCCCGGGGAGAACACGCAAACTCCACACAGGAAGTCCAGAGCTGGAATTGAACCCGGTACCTCTGCACTGTGAGGTCGACGCGCAAACCACTGGACCACCGGGCCGGCCCCATGGAAAGTTTCCAAGTCCCAAATTCTGTGCTCTGTCACGACAGCTGTACTACCACGGCGAACCCATCAGCGTGAACGTGCACGTCACCAACAACTCCGGCAAGACGGTCAGGAAGGTGAAGATCGCAGGTGAGCGGCTGTCGGATGCGCGCGTGTGGCCTCCGCCGCTTTGACGCCGTTCCGTCTTCCTCCCTCACAGTGCGCCAGTATGCCGACATCTGCCTGTTCTCCAAGGCTCAGTACAAGTGTCCCGTGGCCCAGCTGGAGGCGGAGTGAGTCGGTACACGCATCCCGGCGCCGAGGCGGACGGAGCGCTCGTGATTACCTGTTTTGTTTTCCCGGTGCCCGTCGATCAGCGAGCAGGTCTGCGCCAGTTCCACCTTCTGCCAAGTGTACACGCTGACGCCCTGCATGGGTGCCAATCGCCAGAAGAGAGGCCTGGCGTTGGATGGCAAACTCAAACACCAAGACACCAACCTGGCCTCCAGCACCATGTACGCACGCGCACGCGTTCTGCCCGCAAATCGCCGTGCGTGTTTCTTAACGCTGCTGTTTGTGTTGCAGAATGAAGGAAGGTTGCGACAAGGAGATGGTGGGCATCGTCGTGTCTTACCGCGTCAAAGTCAAACTGGTGGTGTCTCGCGGCGGGTACGTTGTCAACATCTCACACGCTTGCGTTGTACGAACGGTATTGTCATACTCGCTCAGGTGTGCCCCCAGTTAGAATATTCGGGGATTTTTCATTTTAGTTAGCTTTTATTTGATAACTTGAGTTAGTTTTGATTAATTTTTAAAACAAATTTGTAATTTTTTTTTTTTTTTGGAACAAGCTTTTAGTTTAGTTTTAGCTTTATGGATGGGGATTTGCACAGTGTCCCTCCGCACCCCTCCAAAAAAGGCCCAATTGTTATTGTGTAATGAATGAAACTACAATTCCCAAAAAGGACTATGAGCTTCCATCTTCAGACGTACAGCAATGCTGAAATCAACGCATTTGAGCTGAATGTGTCATATTGACAAAGATGAAAGCGAATGAGATTTTTGCTATTTTTAGTTCGTTTTACCAACATAAGATGTAGTTTTTTCGTTCGTTTTTTTAAGCATTTTATTTCATTCACAACAGTTTTTCTAGTTTTAGTTAAAAAGTGGATGTGCCACTGAATTCCTCCCCGCCCCCATTGTACAATGACGCCCTGCTCACTCACGTTGAATCCTTCGGACCCCCACTAATGTGATTAAAATGTATGGGGTGGGGGCTTAAAATGAGTTGACAAAAGAATTTTGAAGTTGTCTCTGTAAAAACAGATTTTTTTTTTTTTTTTTACCTACTGTGTTTGGGCCGCTGTATTGATCACATGGTCGTATCAGGAGTCTCTCTTTGTAAATATACGCGCATAGAATTTTTTGGTTTTGCTTTTTGTGTGCGTGCAGGGACATGGCAGTGGAGCTTCCTTTTGTTCTGATGCATCCCAAACCCAGCGACCCGGAACCAGGTGACACACAACTCAATCATCTTGATTAATCTGCATAAACCGTCAGGATTAAAGCGCAATTCAATTTGTGGTGTTTCCAGCCGCTGCACAAGCCGACGCCGCCATGGGTGGCGACCTCGTCACTTTCGATAGCGAGTAAGAGTGTGTGTTTGGGTGTGCGGTAATGTGAGAAGTGTTCCTCAAAATGACAGTTGGTCAAAATATGAGTGCGGCACAATGGTCACTTCTCTTCAAGTTGTCCAAATGACAGCGACGTTTTTAAACGGCGTCACTTGACCTAAAAAACCAAAAAAATTGCACAAATGGAACAGGATTCATGAGAAGGGCGGCAGAATAGCTCATTTCAGTCGGAAAATTGTTTTGGGTGGATTTTCAGGGTGTTTGAAGTGGCCGTTGCATGTTTTTCAAAAACAATTCCACAAAGATGGCTACCATGTCTCACTTTGCTACTCAAATTGGGAGCTTTCCTTGGTAACGTCGCCTTCTTTCTTCTTCTTTTGCACAGCTCTGCATCTCAAGCCGACGAGCTGGTGTTCCAAGACTTCGGCCGCTTGCATTTAGCGGGGGCAGAGGGTAGAGCCGAGGGGGACCCCCTGTGTTAGCTGCTACCAACGGTTATCGGCGAATCGCAGCAGTGAAAGCTGCCCCGGCCGCAATAACAATGTGTTTGTCTGTATACAAATATCTTTAATGACTGAGCAGAGAACATTGATGCATTCCAATCCTTCACCAGATTCTCACACACTGGAGTCCAGAAGCATTGACAGTCCAATTGCTGTCTGGTTCAAAAGTTTGTCCAAATAAAAGTGAATCCAACAAGTTGGCCTCTGTTCATGTTTGCTGTGCTGGCGGCGGCTCCAACATGACCTCACAGGTCCGTCCTAGTTCTCCTAGTTTTACTTTGGCATACTCGGCCCTGTTGAGCGCCATCTGACAGTCCTTCCTGGATGAATAGGTGGAGCCCTCGTGAGGTTGGCCCGTGGCAACCTGGAGAAGGGACGGGAGATGTCCATGTTGCGTTCAAGAATGGAAACGTGGAGTGCGTGTATGATACCTGCGTCAGGTAGCGGATTTGCCCACTCAGTTCGCTCTCCACTCTGTTGACGGAGCTCTGGAACTGGACCAGTTGTCTGTCCAGGAGGCTGGCGTTGTGTTTGTCTTTGGAAAGTTCCATCACAATGTTTCCTGCACAAAAACGCCAACAGCAAACGGTCACCCCAGTTCTTTCATTAAGTATAAAGCTGTCATGATAGAAGAATTACAGTGTTGGTTTTTCACATCAAAACACAAATACTAAATTTTGATCGAAATTGTATTGGGGGGGGGGGCTTGCTCTCGTCTGGCTACAATACGCCGAGTTCAAACTGCTCATATGTCAAGAAGCCAAAGTTGTTTTGACTGTGCGCTTGTCTGCTGAATGAGAATTAAAAAAAACAAACTTTCCCTACACGAGGTTCGTTATGTGGAATATTTTCGCTCGTACGGTACCATCCATTGTCATTAATACTTTGGCCACTAAAGTGCGAAGGTGATTTATCAAAACAAACGCAACCATTTAAAAAAATGCGCTATATAAATCAAGTTGCCTTCCTTTGGCGTCACGGTGACGTCATTATAGCCAATAATTATACTTGAGGGATCACGGTTTTATAGACAACTGTGCTTTGAAAAGCACGTTAAGATTACTTGAAACAATAGACGCGAAATAAGGTTAACTTAAAACTCTGATGTTAGATGCACTTAAATGCTAAACTGGGGGGGAAAATGTCCTTTTGGAGCTGACCGGCACATTGCAGGACCATCGCGATTTCCTTCTCAACCTCCTCCAGAGCTCGCAGGCGTTCGTTCGCCATCGACGGGAAGAAGGAGGATGAAGATCAATTTAAAATGAAATCGAGCGTCGTCTTCCAGCAGCAAACGTGACTGAGCCGAAGAGGAAAAGCTGCGAAACAACAAGCCGTACTGCGCATGAGCAGAATCGTTTTTCTACGGGTCGCCTTCTAAGACAAAAGATATTTGATATATCCGGCTCGTGAAAATGTAGTAAGAATAAAAGGCTTGTTTTTAAAAACTTTAACACACGATTTTTATCATGTACACTTAAATAAATTAAATGTAATTGTACATCTTGAACTCCAGAGTGTCAGTGCGTCAACTTGCCGTCAAATTGACAATGTGATTTAATGTCAATGCCAAATTCGCTGAAGAAATTGTTCAGTTAAATTGGTTGACGTTTTTTGAAACTTGCCGTCAAATTGACAATGTGATTTAATGTCAATGGCAAATTCGCTGAAGAAATTGTTTAATGAAATTGGTTGACGTTTTTTGAAACTTTTTTTGAGGATGAAAACGAGGTTCTGTTATACCCGTTTTTTAATTAAGACCAAATGTGCACGAGAGGCCGGAAACTGGAATGACCTAAAAATGAAATCTTTCCACAATAATTGTATTTTCAGACATGAACGATGGTTGTTACAATATGAGCAGGTATCTTAAATATTAAAGCGTGGTGACATTATTCCTTAGATGACGAAATGTTATTCATACTTTTAATGTGTGTTTCCTTTCTTTTGGGATGTACCGGTCGTGGAACTTAATTCATTGACGCCGTTTTTTTTTTTGCTTTGTTTATTGTGAGGAGGGTCCAGCAAAATAACGTCTCGGTCGCGCATTAGTGACGTTGCTTGGCGAACAGGCAGGCAGGCAGGAAAGATGTCGGCATCATCTTGGCTGCATGGCCCGTCTGCTGGGCGTTTGACTGAAGGTTTCTTGTCGGTTCTAAAGGAGCAGCGCCCCGAGTATTTACCCAGCCTACTGGACAGCTACCGAGAGCATGGCGTGTTCCGCACGCAGGTACGTGGAGAACGCCCGCTCGCAAGCCACCAGCCGAACGTTCGCTCTCTCTACCAGCTAGCTGCTTGCTAACCTGCTGGCTTTTGTTACTCAGCTGGCAAAAGTACGAATACAAGTAGAAGTACTGATTTGCGTAAAAGTACAGAATCTAAAATGTACCTATGTACAAAAGTAAAGAAACGCGTCTCTGCATACCGACTGGTAGCGTCGATCATTTCTTGACTTCTTACGTTACGTTCGCGCTGAGAAGAAGAAAAAAAAGTTATGTCCCTTAAGGGAACGTTCTAAAATCTTGAACGTAAATGTTAAAGCTTTGGTAAGCATCCGTAATACCGGGGTTATCGTTTTGACTTTCCATAGGTGGAAAAATAGAGATGTTTGCACACATTTTCGTGACGATTGATCGAAATTTTCAGACATTAAAAGGGATTTTCTACGTTAATTATTTTAAACTGACTTACCCAAGCAACCAATTGTTAAAAAAGCATTTAAATCCCCCCCACCCTTAATAAACTTATTTATATGGAACCCATTATTCGATTTTCATATTTTTTGTGCATTGTACTGAGGTTGAAGTGGCCATTCCAACAACACTTGGCATTTTCGCAGACTATCACTTTGGGGGAAACTTATCACCTTTTGAGAGGCAGAAAGCATGAATGTTTGAGAGGCAGAAAACCAAACGATGTTACTGCGCGTTCACAATCATTCCCTTATTCCTTGCTAGGGGTAATTTTCAGGAATTATCCATTTATCCATGTCCACATGTTGAAGTGATCAATCCAACCAGACTCGGCATTACACACACACACACACACACACACACACACACACACACACACACACACACACCACAAACTCTTTTGGGAGAGTCATGACAATGCATTAAAGTTGAATTTTATTAAACTCGCTTCAAGTGCCTAGCTAAAAAAACAAAACGGGAAATACAACTCTGCGTAAGGGCGTATTGTACCGAGCCGAGGTGACCTAATGATTTTCGGTTTGACCGAAAACTGTCCCAGCACTGCCAAACACTCATCTGCTTTCCTAATGCAAGGAGTAAAAGTCAACAATCATTAGAAAAATCAGAGAAAAAGAACTGAGACCTGAGAAATGTACTTGCAGTAAGCAGACTAAGGAAGTATTTGTACTTGGGAGCAATCCCGCTTGTGTGTTGTGCTGCTGTTCTGGTGTTGTTAAATGCAACTTGTGACAGGGCGCCAGCGCCGTCGGCGGACTCCTTGGGTTTAGCAACGCCAAACTGGCCTCCAGCAAGACCAAGTGAGTGTCGTCTTCAGAATAAACACATGTCACAGTGCCACTTGTAGCAGCAAGTCATCTGTGTGTACTTGCGTGCAGGTTTGAGGGATTGTGTCTCCTCGCCATGCTGGTTCAGGACAGTTCATCTGAGCTGTTCCAGCAACACTGTCTCTCCTGGCTGCGGTCGCTGCAGCAAGTCATACAGGTTAGACTCAATGTGCATCAGTCGCCGTCGGCCACATCTGGGAGGATGTTTCCTCAAAAGCTCATCTCCAGTCGCAGGCCCCCGTTCACACTATCCAGCTGGCCGTGACCATCTTGAAGGACTTGCTGCAGTATTCGTCTCAGCTGGCAGAGCTGGCTCGAGAAGTGGGCCTCAACTGTGTCCTGGGCATCCTCACATCACTGCTGGGCCTGAAGACGGAGGTGAGCAGAGATGCAGGGAAAGCAAGACGGTGCAACGTCACGTCTTATTTGTATGGTCACCCCTCCCCCTCCAAAGAAAGAAAAAAACTTACCATTCAAAAAAATACAGTCGAAATTAGGGCTGCACGATCTGTTGTTTAAGAATGGTCATCACTGTGTGCGTATCCGCATTAGTCACAGTCGCTACATGGTGTACCTCACCTTGAAAGACATCTGTTTAGTTAGTTTTTTTTTCTGAGTAGGTAAGTACAGTTTGACAGGTACCCCCCAAAAAATATGTATCCATGTAAGAGGCAAAATAATTCTTGCTTCATGTTTCTTTCTTTTTCACTCAAGATGGCCGTCGCACAGCTCACGACTCCCATGCTATGGGGGCTAACCATCATTTAATAAGGAAGCAAAACACGTACATTTCAGGCAGGCAGCAGTGGCTGCCTACCTGTAGATATTTTTAGAGCGTAGATATCGATATTCAAACTTGGTTAAAAGGTAAACAAACATCAAGAGTGGATTTGAGCTATGAGTCTTGACTGACTCGCAGCGGTCGGTGCAAGCTGGAAAATAAGTCTGAAATTCGCGACGGTATAATCGTACACCCCGGTGTAATGAGGAGACAGGGAAATGGTGTCAAAATCTGAATATCGCCACCAACTCAAAAGCCGCCATATTTTCAAATGCGTAAACAAGCACGTCACTGCGCCTCGCTGTCAAGACGGAGCACCCGCTGACAGGACGCAGCCTGGCAATTCTTATTGAACCCCATATAAGACTTGTGAATTATGATCGGTTTGAGCAAAGACATATACCACCCGTGCGAATCAGAATGAAATTCAATTTGGATTGAGCCAGTTTATTTTTGATGGAGGTGTCTCTTTTTCATTCGCTTTGACATTTGGGTTCATTCTAATCAGGATGCATGGCTCCATGTAAACTTTACTTCATGCACTCAAATATAGAAATGCTAATGTGTATGCACTACAATATAAGTGGGCAAGAAAATAAATTATTTGAGATTCAAATCTATTACTTGTTGAATACTCAGGAGCATTTACATGCTTGTGGATTGCACATAAAGGACTCGGTATACCTCTCTGCTCTATTGGGCATCGTTTGTTTTCTACTGAAGCAATTATAAATGCCTGACTGTAGCCCTCCTGTGATATCAGTGTGAGCTGGCAGCCATGGAGGGCATGACGGCGTGTATGACCTACTACCCCCGAGCGTGCGGATCCCTGCGGGTAACCCTCCGTCACATCACCTTTCATTTGCTCGGTCATCAGTGTCCAATACCTGAGTTGATGATTGTTTCAGGACAAGCTGGGGGCCTACTTCCTCTCCAAAATGGACAGCTCCAACAAGAAAAGCCAAGAGGTTTGTCCTCCTGCCGTCGGGCTGCCACGACTCCCTCTGATGACCCGGATTACACAATGTGTTCCCTCCAGATGGCTTGTCAGTGCTACGCCCGCCTCCCGTGCCTAGGTGGCCTGACGGACCGAGCGTCGGGCGCCAGCCGAGCCGACCGATGGAGCGATCAGGTTCACTGCTTGCTGGCCTCGGCCAATGGCGCGCTGGCTCACCTTTACCGTGGTGCCGAATCTGGTACGCGCTCCACCCGGCATGCTCGGGGGCCTCATCGTGTCGGTTGCACGTGTTGAATTGTTGTCGCTGTCTGGCACCGCAGACAGGACGGCGCAGTACGAAGGTCCCGGGGTGGAGCTCGGCTTTCCTCCTCTCGACCATTCGGATGCCCTGCTGCCGCTGCAGCTCCAGCGCAGATACACGGCCGTGTGTCTCGCACTCAAGCACACCCTCAGGTACGCACAGGCAAACCCAATCGGTGGGGATTCTCCACTGACGCTGTGCAAGTCTAAACTGGGACGTGCTAGTCTACTGTCAAACCCCATCGATGGCATTCAAACAGCGGGGAGGGGGGCGGGCGCAAATGATGAGCGACAGGTTCAATGTACCGTATTGGCCCGAATATAAGACGGTGTTTTTTTGCATTGAAATAAGACTGAAAAAGTGGCCGTCGTCTTATATTCGGGGTCTAGACATTATACCCATTCACGACGCTAGATGGCGCCAGATATCATTGAAGCGAACGCTGAACGTGACTCCCCAGAACAAAGTGAACCCCTGTCACGAAGAATAAAAATAAACATGGCGGTAGCACGAAGAAGAAAAATAAAAAACAGCGGTAAGAAAGAAAAGAGAAGAAAATAATAGAAGAGATAACAGAAAATGGAGAAACGTAGCGACAATCTGGAGAAAAGTGGGTCGAAGATCGGCCAGGTTAACCAGCAGCTGAGGAGAAGTTATGATGTAATTTACATTTCAAAAACCAGAAACCATTCATTTACGAATGTGATTGCACTTTAGTTTACATATTTAGATGTTCAGATATTAAGATTTGAATCAGGCAAAATAACATGCTTTTTCTCTCAAATATATTGTTATAATCATTTGTTTCAGATGTACTGTAATTATTTTCTGTATAAAAATTAATTTGGTGTTCAAAAAGTCTTATTTTCAAACTTGAGTTTTGAAAAAGAGGGTTCGTCTTATAATCAGGGCCGTCTTATATTTGGGCCAATACAGTACTGAATTTTTGCAAATGGTGTGAACTTGACGTGCCTTCAGGGTGGATCCGGCGTCGGCTGTGCGTCTGCCCGTCAGGCCCATTCTCAACCTGGTGTGTCGAGCTCTCGCCGTCAGCGCCAAAAGCATCGTGAGCATCCAACGCGCTCCACACTGACGCTTCCGTTAACCCACAAGTGATCTGCACCCGTTTTGCTTTTTCGCATTAGAATTTAACAGGCGACGGCAGCGTGAGGCTGCTGCTCCTGCCTGCTATCCACACTTGCACACTTGAGGTCTTATCTGCGCTCTTCACAGTGTAAGTTGAAATGTGCACACACGCCGCGTGAAAAACGCTGAAGCGCTTAGCCGTTCTCGTCTTGACTTCAGCGTGCGGACCAGCATGGTGCAGTATGCTGCGGTGCTCCAGAGGCTCTTTTCCCAAACGCTGAGCGCATGGACGCCTCCACCTGAAGCCAACCCTGGGCAGCAGAGAGCCTACAGGTACGTGACGGTGGGACTTTCTTGACTTGCAAATTGACACCCTCGCTGTGCACCGTGGCCCACAATCAAATCCCGGCGTCCCCTTTTAATCCTACAGTTCGGTGCGCGTGTCCGTGTATAGAAGCCTGGAAGCGTGGGTGCAGGTGGCCGGAGCGTCTGCCGGTATCCTTCAGGGTAGCTCCAGCCACACCGAGCTCCTTTTTGCCCACCTCCTCGGTGACATCACGCCCGGGGCCGAGTCCATCAAGGTGTTGTTGCATTTGATTTTACAGTGAGCGCACGGCATCGCTAAAACCGGCCGTGTCCTTTTCCTCACCTGCTCCCGCAGCTTCGCGCGGGCTTGTCGGCCGACGTGGTTCCGGGAGGCAAACCGGGTCCTCGCAGGACCAAACCGTTGGTGATGGCCGATGCGGTCGTGCCCTCGCTCCAAAGGAAAGGTGACAGTTTGGCCAACCAGGATACCTGCCTTTCAGCTCTCAGGGGTAAGTTGCTCAAACATGCGCTCATCATCTCTCCAGATGACGTACGATTTCAATCCTTTTCTTCTCCGGCTAAGCACTAAGACAAATCATACTGACCAGCGGAACCCTCCTAAAGGATGATCTGCACAAGGTAAATGGTGGACATAAACCAACAATGGTGCACCAAATCTGTCGGCATCAGTTCACGTTTTGGAAGAGAGAGGGGTTTGTCGTATTTGACGGCGTGTATTTTGTGCGGTAGCGTCTCCATGAGGTTCTGCTGCCGCTGTGCGTGCGCTTGCAGCAGCAACAGTCCAGCTGCAACGCCGCCTCCGAATCTGCAGTGAGCGTCAGCGGGCAGTACGGTGGCGCCCTCACGCGGCGGGAACTCTACAGGTACTCTGCGTCTGTTAGCTTAATGCTAACACATCATGGTAAAAGCCATAGATGGGCTAATGAAAATTAGCATAGATGTTACATTAATTCCAAACCGTGGTAAAACTGCTACTCTCATACATGCTGAGCAGCAAACTGAGCATACGACGATATTCTCAGGTTTAATAGTCTCTGCTCTCTAGAGACGGCCATGTATTACTTGAGATTAGTCGGAGATCTTTTCAGCCTCTCCTTGCTCCAAATTGTCATGCAGTGGCACAAAGTCGCACCACTCTAAACTGGGACATGGCAGTGTACTATCAATGGCTTAAAAATTTGCACGAGTGACATGTTTTGTTTACTGGGCTTGTTTGTGTGTGTCATCATCACGTGTTTGTGGACTCTCAGGTTGTTGCTGGCTCTCGTGCTGGTCCCGTCCCCCACGTGGCCTCCACCACTCACCTGCGCCGTGTCCATTCTCAGCAAAGGACGCGTGGACCGCAACCTCAAGGTTGGACGTTGCTGCCGATGTCATTGCCATTGTCATGAACAGTGTACTCAGTGCGCTGTCCTCACGCCCTTTCAGGTGTCTTCGTTCTGTAGCGAGGCGCTAACCATGTGTAACGCCCTGGTCCACCCGCGCGCTCCCTCCATTGCCATCCCCTTACCACCCCTCACCCTAAAGGCCACGCCTTCGGCTCCTGTCCTGCCATCTTCCCAGGGACCGACCCCCGGCCTCCCGTTGCCCACCCTCCTCGGAGGCCCCGGTTCCTCTGGGCCCTTCCCCGCTCGCCACTCGCTCGCTTTGTTGAGCTCCCTGGAAAACCACCTGTCTCTGGTTCCGGGCCACGCCTCGGGCGACGCCATCTTGTCCCCGCACCCGCAGCACCAGCCTGAGACGGCAGGACTGGGGCCCCCCGACGGACAGAGACCCGTTTTTGTGCGCTACGATAAAGAGGAAGCCGAAGATGTGGAGATCTCGCTAGCCAGTGACTCCGACGACAGTGTGGTCATCGTTCCTCCGGGGATGCTCGCCGCGGAGGTCCGCGAGCCTGTCGAGACTTCCGCGGCCCCGCCTCAGAACCCGGCCAGTGCCGCTGCTCCACCCGCAGGCGGTGCCCCCGAACCCATGGCCTTGGCTCAGGCTGCCACCGATGGGGTTTCCCTCCCCAATGACTTGGCCACCTCCCCGCTTCCCACCGCCCCCGTGACCTCCTTTGCTCCTCCCGCCTCCTCGGTTGTCTCCCTTGTCCCGCCGGGTGGCTCGGGTGAGGGCGAGACACCGGCCGTCAGACCTCAGCTCCAGCAGATGCTGATGCAGCCCTCGGGCCCCGGAGCCCTGGGTCTGCCCCTCCAGATGCAGCAGCTGCAGAATCAGATGGGCCCCCCACAAGGAAGGCTTCCCGCCTCCTCCAACAACGAAGACTCCGCCGTCATCAACATCAACAGCACGGACGACGAGGACGAAGAGGAAGACATGGAGGATGACGAAGAGCTGGAGGAAGATGAGGACGAGGAGGAGGAAGTCAGCGATTTTCCCGAGGGCGAGTTTTACGAGGGCGAGGAGTTTGACGAGTTTGATGAGGAAGGAGAGGAGCTGGAGGAGGAGGAGGAAGATGAGGAGGAGGACGAGGAGGATGAGGAAGAAGATGACGGGGGCGAAGATGGGCCGATGCCTCCATTAGAGGGGGCGGAGGACAAGGCCAACGTGGGTGGCATTGAGGAGGAGGAGGTGCGCCGGGCAGAAGTAGCGCCGGCCGCCTCGAGTGCGGACGGCGAAGCCGTGGGAGGCATCCAGGAGATCCAACTCAGCAGAGCCGACATCGCCGACGAGCGTACCCGAGTGCAGGAGGTGGAGAGCATCGGAGTCCTGGAGGGGGCCAGAGAGGACGAGGAGGAGGAGGAGGAGAGCGAGAGGATGGACGACCCCACCATGCCTCAGATCTTGTGCGTGACTGGAGGCGCGCCAGAGGAGGGGGAGGAGCCGGCCAAGGCCGAGACGAATGAAGTGGCGGCCTTTCGCCATGAGCCGCCGGTCGCCGAGCTTCATCCGCCACTACAGGTACACTAAAAATAAGCCAGTGCACGGGAACAATTCTCACCAAAACGGGACCCAACCCTGTCTGCCACTACTCATATAGTTTTAACTCACAATAGGCTAGAGTAGACAAACAATGATCACTTGTCATTCTAAACTCACACCCTTCAAAATAAATGTCTTTCAGATGATTTGATTGACAAATAATGCACTGCAAAGACTCTCTAACTTCCACCAACGAACCAGGCTTAGCTTGTTTTTGAAATACACAGTTTGTGTTTGATTTGAGATGTTTCACTGAATTCAGCACGCTTCCCTGACACCAGTTACCGAACTGTGTATTTGAGTAGGGCTTTGGCTGCATCTTGTAGTGTCTTGGGGTCTTCCTGAAAGAGCATAGCAAGTGTCAAGAAGTGTTTTTTTTCCCGCCATGAGCTGGCGATAGGTTCCATAGGGGAGTAAAGGCACAAAATTGTATTAGGTTATTCAAGACTTTTCAGCCCATATAATTCATTTGTCAGCAAGGTCAGAAAACTCCACATTAAGGCAATAGAAAAATGTGTGCAATGATTGGACTCTCCACAGGAAGTGGCGCCGGGCCCGGTGCAGGAAGCGAGTGCCGGTGATGACCAGCCGCCCGTCCTTCAAAACGAACTTCTGGCGGCCCCTCCTGAGGACAGCGGCCCACCGCCTTCGGAACCCGCTGCCTTGTTGGGCCCCGAAGAACGGCCCCAAGAGGAAGAAAAGGACAAAGACACACAGGGTGCTGGGATGGAAAGTGATGCGGAAGAGAGCGAAGGGGACGAAGGGAAAGGAGTTAAGCGCAAGAGAGACGATGCACACATGGACGAAGAGGCAGGACAAAGCACTGACAAGAAAAAGGTAAACATTCCATTATTTCTTCGAGTCACTTTCAGTTTGACTTGAATTGGCAAGAACAAACACAAACCATTGAGGGGGGCGGGGAATGACTGATTGGATCATTTATACATATTTGAAAACATGTGGTTAGTTTTTATCGTCTTGTACTGAGGCGTGCTTCGCTCGAGTGGCGTCGCCACAACAGTAATACCCTCGCCTCACATTCTCATGACCTTGCCATATCTCTAAGATTTTGAAATTTCGGCGAGAACGGAACCCACAAAGGGTGCACGTGTGCACACAAAAGGAAGATTAATCATTGCATGTCTAGTATTTGAATAGCGTTTTGTGTAAACTAATTCATGCGTGATCGGCCAGGTGTGTGTGTATATATATATATATATATGATATATTTAAATATATAAAAAAAAAATTCCCCCCGGAATTTTCAGGAAAGTCCACTTTCATCTCTGGTTGAAGGAAATGATTTACCCGCACCACAATCTTTGGACACTTGTCACTGTGTGAGCCGTCGCAGGCAGAATTGAACATTGGCCGCATTTTGTCTCCCCCAGATGCATGATGACGCCATCGCCACCATGTTGGCCGACTTTGTCCCCTGCCCTCCTGATGACGACGAGGTTACAGCCTCCGGGTCAAACCCCTGACAAACTGAAACGAGGGCTTGCCATGTTTGTGTGTGCTGTTGTGCGTCAGCTGTTCATCCGTTATGTTTCACATGAACCGCTGTTGGAAAATGAGACATTTTTTGGACTGTGAGAGTGTCTATCAAACTAAACTAGTGAGGCGGAGTTGTCCGATTCATGTACGAGATCAGAATTTTAAGCCTAATTGCTACACAGACTATGTGAATATTGTGCTGCGGTTAGTGACTTTTTTTGAGTTGAGGCTACTTTTATGTTCCATCACCATCACTTGTCATGCGTTTTGATATAAAAGATTAAAAGCATTGAAAAGATGAATGTCGACCTATTTGCCCTTACTTCTATGTAATAAGTACATAGTTGCAGAGTTTTCTCGTTCTGAATTGAAGGATAAAGTACTCAAAAACCGTCCCAAGATGGCGCCGCTGGTTTACTTCCGAGTTCAGAGTTTAGTGGGCGTGTCATGGGCCAATGTCTACCGCGAGTTTCTTCTTGATTGCTCGCTGTCAACGTTCACAGAAAGTCGACTGTACACAGGTAGGATGAACCAAAGATACGTAATACATACGCCTCGTTGCGATTTTGCGCTGCTTTTATTTCATTTTGGTTTAGTCATTATTTATCTCGAGCAATCGAAATGAAATCTAACACAATAAAAGTAAACAAACAAGTGTTACGTTCGAGAAGGGGCAGAATGAAGCAAAACGTGTCTTGCCCCCCCCCCCCTTACAAACAATCCAAATCATGACTTAAGCAACTTTTTTGCTGTATGTAAATGTTTGCTTTTGAAACGTGTATTGCGTGAAGGCTTTGGACTTTGTTGTTTTGAGTTGAATAATTGAATAATCTTAATGTCATCATTTTGACATGAAGGCATTTTGCCAACAGACCTTGAACTCTGCTCTACATGGAACACTTAAAAGCCAAATGGCAAGTAACCTGCGTTCAACGAGGTCAATCATTTAATATTAAAAATAAGTAACAAGAGAAGGACATTTCTGGAGAAATTGCGTGATTGCTGAGGATCTGGCGCTGGACTGAAATGCTGTGAAATTAATTGACTTGTTGCTTTGAAACGGTTAAACATGGAAGTAAACACGTAAAATACCTCCTCCTTTTGGAATTTTATTGTGGAAGTTTGAGGAATGTCAAATATTTGATATTTTGTTCTGTTCATATATATACTAATCGTTCAGAAAATGTGAAAGGAGGAAATGTGAAAGGATAAAGAAAATATGTAAAATATTGGAGAACTGTGTCATATTCAAAGAAAAATAATAGTAGTCTGAATTTCGAGAATGTTTTGTCGTTTGAAGGGTGTAAATATGTGTGATTATCACGGGGTGAGCTCGCTTGGAAGATGAGCAAGTTTTTGTTGAATGTTTTTCCTTTCATGTGGAAAATGTGGCATGTTGAGAAATTGTGATTTTTTTTCAATGTATAAAAAAAAAATACAAGCGTAAATGTTCAGAGTTCTGTTAATACTTGGAAGTTGAGCGAAATAATGAAGAAACATGACCAATATAATGCCACCCTCTATTTATTTGCAAAGTTTGAGGACAATGAAGCAAGAAGTGGCTGACCTCCCGAGTGGGCCGCTGGACGTCTACAGACGAAAAGCTTCTTTCCCGTGGAAGGACATGCTTATATTTCTGGACGGAGAGGAGGCGATGGCGTTGAAGGTACGGCGAGATAGTAGATATGGTCTGCTTCTGCGGTTATATTTCTTCTTGTGTTGTGCCGCAGCAACGAGTCTTCACGGCATTGGAGAATGATCCGGTTTTCTCCAGGAGGCCGGGTGAAGACCTCCCTCTGGAGAAAATGCGAGAACTCACTTTCCTCAGGTGCCAGGTGGACTGTATATTTATTTTGCACACATCGCCGACGTAGACTCAAAAGTTCCATTTGCTCGGGAAACAAACAGGGTGAAGCAGCTGTTCCGCTACGACTTTCTGACCAATGACGAGGCCATGGCCGACCCCTGGAAGACGGTGGTCCTCAATGACTGCTTGGGCATGTTTGACTGGTCCTTGGCGGCCAAGTTCTTCCTCAGCAAAGGGGTGAGTACTCGACAGAGCCGCTTGATGATGAAACTTCTTTGAGGTACGGTCTGTTGTTTGGGGACGCTTACATCATGCCTTTTGCTCATAGACCGCAAGTTGTAACTTCTTTCATATCATATGATGATGCCGGCGATAACCTTCTAGCAGTAAGGGAAAATCTACATGTAGTAAGACTATATACACGACTCTCCATAATCATTGGTAGCCCTGGTTAATAATAATAATAATAATAATAATACATTTTATTTATAAGCGCCTTTCAAGACACCCAAGGACACTTTACAATAAGAGATGTTCTTTAAATGTTCAACCAAACCAAGTCTGCTAGCTTAATGCTAACATGTAATGGGAAACGATATAAATGGGCTAGCAATAATTAGCAAAAACGTCTCGGTGATTCCAAACTTTCAACCAGTCGCTTTTTAAACGCACACATAGTGGCAACACATCCAAACGGGGGCTCACCATCCTCCTCCACGGCAAGCAGCAATCACTGGAGCTTTGTCGGGGGACCTTCTCTGCTTCTTCTTCTCTTCTCCTTCGACTATGCTGCTAGTTGCTATTTGTGTTCATTTGGGGGTTTACACTTGTGTGCGTCAAAGCACTTTGTGATTACGTGTGGTTAAAACGTCACTGGTTGTTGTTGTGGCTTAGATGTTTGCAAGGACGGTCGCCAGCAGCGGCTCAGCGCGACACCACAAGTTTGTGGACGCCATCGACGATATGACGGTAAGCTCCTCCCACTGTCATCTTCGCGTCACGTCAAAGGCACGCCATCCGGCCGTAACACGCTCGTTTTGCTGGAGGCATACGGATGCTTCGCGCTGACCGAGCTGAGTCACGGCAGCAACACCAGAGCCATGAGGACCACTGCCACCTATCAGCCGTCCACGCAGGTGGGAAAACGCTCCCCGCTGCAAGTAGCCTAGCGCCCGTTGTTTCCCCAACGTGACGAAAAGGTCTATTGCTGGCCTCCGCAATGTCTTGCAGGAGTTTATCATCAACTCTCCGGATTTTGAGGCAGCCAAGTTTTGGGTGGGTAACCTAGGGAAGACGGCAACCCACGCGCTGGTGTTAGCGCAGCTCTACACGGCAGACGGGGTTTGCCACGGCCTGCACTCCTTTGTGGTCCCGGTACGCTGGCTCTCTGGATCCTTTCCCTCCCTTTGACCTTTGTCAGTGGTGCTTGAGCGCAAATAAAATTACCGTTAAATACAGGTGAGAGATCCCAAGACGTTGTTGGCGTTGCCTGGCGTGTTGGTCGGCGATATGGGCAAGAAGCTGGGCCAGAACGGACTCGATAACGGGTACGCGCGCAAGTTCAGGGGTACTTGGACCGTGCACTTGATGACGATCAAATTAAATGGCAATAATTTTGGGTCTGACAGCTGTTTTGAACTGCATTTGGGTGCCGAATCTAAAACTGACATATAGGACCCCGGTTTTTCTTAAAAAATATTAAATGTGTATCTAAAAAAATAAAACACAAAGATGGAAGAGTTACAAGCTTTGGGGAAAAAAAAGACATCACTAATCTTTTTAATTCCTAATATGCCACCGTTCTGTTTGCAGTTATTGATAATAATGATCTATTGGGAGCTGCACACACCTCTCACCACACTGTACGCCACGTAGCCGTACACGAGTCCAATCGTAATCAGCTGACAGTTCTTGCTACAGCTAATCAGTGGAATTTTGCTTATCTGGAAAAAAAAAATTGCCGTGCTACATATTGTAGTTCAATCTGTTTCAAAAGATTAACACAGGATGCAATTCAACAAAACAGGCCTTCATTTCCTTCTATACTGCCACACATCTTGAAAAAAATGGCTTCATTTGACTGTCTGAGTATGCGGTTGTTGGCGAAGGCCGATGACTGACTCGAATTGGGTGACTGTGCGCAGGTTCGCTCTTTTCCACAACGTGAGGATCCCAAGGGAGAATCTCCTGAACAAGACGGGAGACGTGACCCCCGCCGGTACTTATGTGACGCCTTTCCAGGTACACACCGCCCTCCTCCCCATCCATTTTGGACTCGCCGCCGAGGCAAAAGCGTTTGTGCTTGTGAAGGACCCCGACAAGCGTTTCGGGGCATCCCTGGGCGCCCTGTCCGGAGGCCGGGTGTCCATTTCCAGGATGGCCCTGGTCAACCTCAAGCTGGCCTTGACAGTGGCGGTCCGCTTCTCCGCCACCAGGAGGCAGTTCGGGCCCAAGGACGGCCAGGAGCTGCCCGTGCTGGAGTACCAGTTGCAGGTTTGAGGCCATAGCTGCTTTCACACTCATTTTATTCCCGCCTCCCAATCGCTATACGGTGCCGCCTTCACGCACGAGCGACCCTACTTATGACTTTTTCAAGCTGCTAGCTGACATTCATTACGGATTCATTTTATTTGGCCTCCTTCGTCCTTTGACTTGCGAGCACAGACTTGAGCTATAAAGCAATGGACGTTTGAACAAAAATGGTGGTGCAACACATTTAGACAGATCTCAACAGGACTCAGAGAGATATATTCTTGTCCTCCATGGAAAGTGATTCATGTTGCAGTATTTTACAGAGTCACCCAGAGTTGTGAAAGAAGCAGCGCGACAAGGGAATGAATGACCTTTCATATTTTGTGTCTTTGCAGCAATGGCGTCTGATTCCGTACCTGGCGGCGGCATACGCTCTGGAGCGCTTCTCCAAATCCCTCTTCGGCAATTTCGTGGAGTTTAGCATGCGGCAGATGATGCGGGACCACTCGGACACACAGGTGCACTCATGCGCTTTCATTGTCCCACAAAACACATCTCGCATCACGCAAGTGCGGTACGTCCCGGCCGTATTCTGGACTTTGAGGATAGTGAGGATCAAAACGGAACTCCTCTTTCCACGTTTGTCAAGCAATTCAAAGGATTCACGACTTGCTAATTATTTTTCGCACTTGTTATATCACATCTTCACTTTTCCAAATTTGACTGAATTGGCGTGGGCATGCGAAGTGTGCTTTGAGTTGACCGGGAACGCGCGTGTGCTTGGCAGGCTGAGTTGGGCAGGGAGCTCCACGCCCTGGCCTGCTCCGGCAAGCCCTTGGCCTCGTGGACGGCTCAGCGCGGGATCCAGGAATGCCGCGAGGCGTGTGGGGGTCATGGTTACTTGGCTAGTGAGTATTTCTGTCCTCTGAAGCATCGCGTGCTCGTGGCGCACACACACACACACACGTACACACGCCATTCGCGTCACTCACGCTTCCTCCTGCTTTTGCCCGCCTCCGCAGTGAACCGCCTGGGCAATCTGCGCGACGACAACGACCCCAACTGCACTTACGAGGGGGACAACAACGTCTTACTGCAGCAAACGAGCAACTACCTGATGGCGTGGATGGACGCCAAGCGACGTGGTCAGCCTCTTCTTCTTTCAGTAACACTTTCAGGGTTGCCTGTTTTAACACTTATCAGGATGAACGGGGCCACACCGCTCCGCTTTTCGTGGCTGGCCCTCCAAAATCCAAATCACTGACTATCGTAGTAGTGAAGTCATCCTCATGATAAATATAAGAAAAATAAGATAACCTTTATTCGTCTCACAATGCAGAAATTCCCAGTCGACAGCAGCAAAGTTAGTAAAGGAAGAAAGTAGAAGAACAAAAGTATAGGAGCTGCTGTAAAGGCAGCCACTCTCGCAGCGCCATCTTGAATTCATAATAACATACAGTATGAAAACGACTCCCATGTCCTGAGTTTAACCCTTTCATGCATCTTGTAACCCAATAACATGGTAAACTGCCCTCTGTGGTAACCACTGTGCCTGAAAGCGTTAAAAGACCGGAATTAAAAAAAAAAAAAAAAAAAAAAAAAACGGAAATGCAACTGTAGCTGAGTGTGCTGCCTTGTGCAGCGTGATGACATTTCTGTATCAGTCGCAAGCCGAGGGCTCCCCGGCATCTTCCAGGAGCCCTTCGTAACCCACCAAAGTGGGCCCACCACAACTTTCTGTCCTGCTGACCTACAAATGGTCATCAAATGTTTATTGTTTCCCAACCGAGGCATGATGAGAAAAATGTCATGGCACACCACCGAACAAAAATGGCACCAAGAGACTACACAGAGTCAACAAAAATATATATTTTTTTTGTATGAGTCCAATGACAATTTTTCAGACCAATGAAGTGAAACTGAAAAATGTCTCTGCTCAGCTCATGGCACAGTGGTTGCGAATCACAGATCCTCATTAGCCAAAAACGACATTCTCATCTGTTCAAAAAAATTATTCTTGAAAAGTTCGATGACTTAAAAATGGTGTTGAGTTCAATTTGCATAGATTGTGTCCGGGGGTGTCCAACTCATTTTTGGAGTGAGCCACATTGTAGTGAGGGCAGCCCTGAGAGGGGAAACCATTATTACATATGCACAACAAATTGATGGATTTCTACTTTTGCAAGGGCAAAGTCAAGGACAGTAATTTTTTTTCAACCATTGTTCAAGTTGCGGTAAAATGGGTAACAAAATTCAAGCAAAATCTCAACAGTATAAATTGCACATGACATTTAGATTTTTGGATCACAGAAGTTGAAACATGATTTGCTTTCGCGGGCCACAAAAAAGGGATGTGGCAGGCCATGTGTGTGTGTGTGTGTGTGTGTGTGTGTGTGTGTGTGTGTGTGTGTGTGTGTGTGTGTGTGTGTGTGTGTGTGTTTACGACACATTTCTAAAATGTTAAAAACAAGTTTTTTTTTTCCTCTCCCTGACTATGACCCAAAGTTCGTGGTTGCATAGTATTTTTGCTCTCCGGAAAAGTGAGCATTTTGGAGCTCGGAGTATTCCACCCGATGGCAGCAATTTTTCTGGATTCTTCTTGTGTCAAGAGTCACATGACCAAAAGAGCACAGCTTGATTGCCAAATGTGTTTGAATTTACATGTTGTGTTTTTCACTGAAATTTTGATGACACCCCCCCAACGTGAAAAAGCTTGGCTTGAGTTCGTGCCGGTGTTGATTTTCAGATGGCATGCGGATCCAGTCCCCTCTTCACACCGTGGACTTCCTGGACGATTTCCACCAAATCCGAGACGGCGGCTTCTTGGCGCGCACGGTTGACGACTGCATGGACTCCGCAGGTACTTTTCTCTCAGCAAGGTGACGCTAGCACGATCCAAAGGACGGCTCCATAGCTTCATTGCTTGATGGCTTCCCCGTCAGTGGCGTTGGCGGCCTATAAGTGGCTGGTGTGCTTCCACCTGGAGGAGAGTCACGAGCGGCTGCAGCAGCTCCGGTCTTTGGGCCAAGATGACTTTGAGGCCCGAAACAATAGCCAGGCAAGGAGACGACGTTCTTCATTATGCAACACGATGCTTGATTTCAATGATTGCGGCTGCTTTTGGGCCTTGCGCTCCTCCCACGTTTCTCAAAGCATTCCAATTTCTCAATACTAACAGACGGCGGTACATTTGGGCTTGTACATTTCGTGCTGCGAAAACTCCCGCTTTCCCTCCCAATTTCACAATTTCCATGTCAGTGAGACAGCCAACAAAATGTTCAGCCTCATCGTTCACTTTTCAACACACAGGCATCCATCACATTCCTCCAATTCCCACATGCAGACGATAAATTTCCAAATTGAGATTTGGCATATTTTCCATTTTCAATTTGAATGTTTCAAACCATCCCAACTTGAATATGTTCACCTAATTTTGTACACCTTAGGAACTATTGACGCCAATTTGTAAATGTCCGTCCATCCATCCATTTTCCAATGCTCTTTATCCCCACTCATGTATGTTTTTGGAATATGGGAGGAAGCATTTTCCATTTTATCCTTGGCTCATTTTTGTAACAAATGGCCCCTCTCTGTTGCATTTTCTAATCTCGCTGAGTCACCGCGCGGCAAGTCAATGTGTTCAGAGGGTGTCCGTCCGTCCGTCCAGGTGTACTACTGTCGTGACCTGGCGTTGGCCTACATCGAACACTGCTGCCTCCAGCGGTTCCACGAGTGGACTCGAGACGATGACACGCCGAGCCATCTGCGAGCGGTCCTCCAGAAGCTTTGTGCGCTTTATGGACTGTGGAGCCTCAGCGGCCACATGGCCACATTGTACCGAGGTGCTTTTTTTTCCTCAACTCAGTAAAAACAACAAAAAAAAACAAAAAACAATTTTTATTTAATTTTTAATTTAATCGAATTTATAGTAGGCTATCAGAATTCCCAAATATTCGATAGCTGCAGCCCTGTATAGTTCCCACCCCTGCAAATGAATCCCGTTTCGAAGGTAAGAAGTCAGAAAGGAAGTTTTGAATGAAGTCTTCACAGATAAATGCTTCCAGTAAGGCGAAGAATCCAACTTTTAAGGATTTCTTAGCCGCACGTGAGAAGTTTAGAAATGAACTGGAATCTGGCTATGATGCAATGAGGGGTCGCGAAAGGGCTGGCAAGAATTCTTGACAGGCAAATGACATTTTTGGAGAAAGGCTGACTGTGGCTTTAAAAAAAGAAAAGGGGGGCGGGGCTTTTCCTTTTTTTCCCAAACCCATCAAAAGTCGATACATCGGTGCAGTCAAGCTTTGCGTGCTTCTGTGCAGGTGCTTTCCTGAGCGGAAAGGAGCCGGCCCACTTGATCCAGACGGCCATTCTTACTCTCTGCGCACAGGTGAGGCCCCCCACCCCCCTCATGATGACAACGACGACGATAATGCTGAATCATCTCAAGCAAAACGGTAAAGGGAGCCTACTGCGAAAGTCAAGTAACGTCCAGTTGTTTGCAGCTGAAGGACGACGCGGTGGCGCTGGTTGATGCCATGGCCCCGCCGGATTTCATCCTCAACTCCCCCATCGGCAACGCTGATGGACAGGCAAGTTCCTCGTTAACTCATTCAGTACCAGCCAATTCTAGACCAAGTCTGAAAAGTCGTTTAAAAACGTCTTTGGGAGTGAATGAGTTAAGCGCAGTACTCACACACGGACCGAAATACAAGTCCACACAACTTTTAAGTACAACGCCTGATCGAAGGCAAAAGTCAAAAAGTCCGAATGAAAATGTACGATCAATGACCTACAATACAAAAGTTCCCCTCCCATCATGGGTGGGGCTTACATTTGTTTGGGTTGAAATTAGTTATCGAGCTATCCTATTTAAATACAGGTACACCCCGGGCGTGTTTTTAGAGCACATACAGCAGCTACATATTTTTAACGGTCTTCAAACGCACCGTTAAAACAATACACATTTAAACACAGAAGCAAAATAAATCGCTACCGTCAAATATTGTACAAAACAGGAAGTGACAAGTCGAAAACACAGACGCCCAAAGTACAAAGTCGTCACAAGAAAAACGGCTCAAGTGGAGACCTACGGGAGTCGAGTCACAAAATGTTTGGACTCAGTTACTAAGGAAGTGATGCAAATTGTTTGTCAATGCGGCCGCAGCTGTACAAGAACCTTTGGTCCACGGTGATGCAAGGCCACCAAGCGCTGGAGCGGCCGTCGTGGTGGAAAGAATTCTGTGCCGACAAGCCCGTCGTGGGATCCCTGCGGGCCAAACTGTAGACGGCAGGCCAGCGTACCCGCCGCGCACACACTTGGCTCCGTTTTTTATGCCTTTGCTTCCGCTCTGTTGTACTCGCCACGAAAACACCGTTTATGAATGGGACTAAATGCGATTAGCAATGTGACGAGACGAGGCGTTTTAAACAAACGCATGGCTAATTCTAATGATTTAGGAGTCGGGAGTGAGAAATGATTGCCAAGGCAGTCAACTGCCATGACCATTCTTCATTTATTCCAAAATCAATGCTATGCTATGACTCGCCTCTCACCCGTAGATGATTATTCCTGCCTATCTGGGAGAAAAAAAAAAGCTTTTTCTGCACCACATTTGTTTGTTAAAACGAGGAGAGCAATGTCTATTTTTTGGTCACTGTCATATCAGCCAATTATATCTGTGTGTGTGTGTGTATTTATGTGTATAATTTATGTATATATGTATTTATGCATATGTGTATGTATACACACATACAGTATTTAACATGATTACTTACTAATAGATGGCTGACCAATAAAAACAAATTGATCAATGCTCTTCTGGGGTATTGTGTTCTTGTTGCACATTTGGAGCGAATAGCTTGAGGAAAAGTGTGTGTTAGCACTCCCTGTGAGTCACAAGCTTTTCTTTTTTTTCTGCCATCACTTATCTGGCCCGGCGGGTCAAATTTAGTTGATGGCGTCTAGAAAGGAAATGCAAACATTTCCAATCCACATTCCCCCGAAACGGAATCAGTTGTAGCTGCCATGAGTTTGGAAGCAAAAGACGGCAGTTCTCATCACCGTTGAGCTTAAGCCCCGAGTGCAGAAATGGGAAACGGTGTGGATTTCATGAGTGACATCCCAAGCTCTTGCAGGAATGTTTGTGCTGTGGTGGACACGAGAAGAAAAAGCCGGGAAGGAGTCAGGTGAGGGCTAAAGGCCAATGGATTTATTGACACTTGAACTGCCGCTTCAAATCAAGGATGTCTCACACTGACCCCCCGGCCCCCCACACGCACCCCAACGTCTACTAGAGTGGTTTTCTTCAAATGAACAACGTGCATTTTGGGGATATTACAGAGGTTTGTTATTTTGTTGGCATGTCAACTTTCAAATGTGATGCCGGGAATCCGAACGAGCCGCATTAAGCACGTGCAGGGACGTCCGTCTCTCCACATCACTCTGTTCCTTTTTTTTTTCCAGCCGGGGCTGAAGATGAAGGCCTGGGCTGGCTTTTTTCCTCAACGCCGTCCGAACTAGGAAGAGGCTCCTTCATCACCTTCAAGCTGCTCCTGTCGACGAGGTCAATGAGAAAGCAACCCTGTCAACGGCGACTCAAATATCACCAGTTATGTTGACAAGTTTTGTTGTGGCGGTGAGTCCCAAACCAGTGATGTCGGTAACGGGTGACCACGTTCCTCAAAATATGACAATGATTTTGGTGATGAACAATCTTAACGTATTACAATTTCTCGACAAGTAATCAGATTACTTTTACCGTGAGTCAATTTTTTTTTTTTTTTTTTTTTTCATCAACTTGAGAAATGATGCCACGTCTTGTCACAGCGCACACGCAAATATCACCAGTTATGTTGACAAGTTTTGTTGTGGCGGTGAGTCCCAAACCAGTGATGTCGGTAACGGGTGACCACGTTCCTCAAAATATGACAATGATTTTGGTGATGAACAATCTTAACGTATTACAATTTCTCGACAAGTAATCAGATTACAGTTCAACCAACTTTTTTTTTTTTTTTTTTTTACATCAACTTGAGAAATGATTCCACGTCTGTCACAGCGCACACAGATGCATGCACTCGCAAACAATGGTGGGACAAGAAGGGGCTCGTCTCTTATCAATTTGCAATTGCAATTTTTTTTCTGTAAATTAGCAAATTTTTTGCTGTCCTCACACCTCCCACCACAAAATAGCACTGAGCAGATGAGCACGTTGAAAGAGGAGACAAAAGAAATCAGACCATTCATCCCGGATAACGTCCTTGACCGGTGTCGCAAATGTTATTTTTTTACGTTAGAAAATTAAAGGGAGAGTGTGTATGTGTGTGTGGGGGCGTTTTGCGGCTCACTGTGGTGTACTGCACGATGACATCCGGTTCAATGTTGAAGAGCAGATCGTCATTGTCCCTCCTGACTTCCAGCAGGAGGGCCGTCTCCTCCCGCAGCGCCCTCTGCAGCTGAGCCGTGCTCACCACAGGCCGACCGTTCAGTTTGACGATGATGTCGCCGTCTCTGATGCCGCCTCTGAAAGCACAAAGGGGGGGTCACATTCATCCCGTTTTTTCCATGACACTTTTGTGGACAGAAAACACACACTGGAGGGGGGTCTAGGGTTCAGATGATCTGTTGCCGAACCCTGTCCAACTCAAGTCTGTCCATTTTCAAGAAGCTGACAACTTGTTTTTCCCCCCCTCCCACATTCTTCCACAAGTTAATGTCTTGAACCGGTTATATTAACCCCTTGGTCATGGCTGCCTCCCTAACTGCTCTGGATAGAAGCCGTCTGTCCAGAAACATCAAATCCTCCTGCTCGGCTCGATGCTTAACGCAAACCTCAATCCGCTCCGTGCCGCTCTTTGGAGCTTTTTTTATGGAGACGAATGGCCGGCGGGGTCTTACTTCTGCGCCGGGGAGTGGGGAACCACCTCGTGGACGTAGATGCCGCCGCCAGGAACGTCGGGGAAGTCCGGCTTCTGCTGTCGTAATTCCTCGACGAGCCTGCAAAAGAGAGCTGCGTTGAAACTCGAGTGATTTCCGACGATGGGAGTAAAAGAGTGCAGAGCGGCGGTACTTACGCCGGCGTGATCGTGAGCATCCTGATGCCGATGAAGCGCTTCTTGATCGGCCTGATGTCTGAAGGAGACGGACGAGGGGGAAGAGGCGCGTTTGATGTCTCACCTTTACCGTGCTTGTCCAAGGAGTCGTTGAGAAAGCGAGTGATCCTGTCTGAAGGGATGGCGAAGGAGATTCCCGCAGCGACCTTCAGGGTATTGATGCCGATCACCTCGCCGTCCTCAAAAAGACGAGACCCTCATCTCACTTTGTGTTTGGAACCAAGGAAGCCAAAGAAAGTCTTACCAAATTGACCAGAGGCCCTCCCGAATTGCCAAACTGTGAAGTAGAAGACAAAAGAAGAAAGGTGAGGCGTTCCCTCGGCGTACCCGAACGCCAGCGGGCTCTCACGTTGATGATGGCGTCCGTCTGGACGTAGTCCATGTCCGAGTCCCTGAGGCCCAACTCCTTGCCGTCCCTCTGGGCCGTGCTGACGATGCCGGTGGTGACCGTGTTTTGGAGGGCGAAGGGGCTGCCGATGGCCACCACAAACTCTCCGGCCCTCAAGTCGGCACTGTGACCCAGAAGCAGGACGGGGAGCTCGCTCTGGGATGGGAAAACGGGAAACTCAGGCCGGCCCTTAGCTTCATCCACTGTCAGTCCTACCCCTAACCTACACGTGTCCAACTTGAGGCCCTCGACCTCATTTTGTGCATCCAGCAAAAACTTGAAACGGTTTTCTTTGACTTCTGTTCAAAACTAGCATTAGAAATGCGAATAACCAAACGTAGGTCGGATTCTGTAGGTCAGCGGTCCCCAAACGATTTTTGCCCCACGGACTGGTTCAATGTCAGACAATATTTTCAGTGCAATGCAACAAAATAATATGATATGACCTGCATGAAAACTGTGGTATTTTCTAAACATAATAAACACAAATCATGACAAGAGGAATGTTTTATCTAGCCGCAACACTCTCTGGTCACTCAGGTAACGTTTAAACATGCCTTCAAAATAAGATACACCGCAAATACGAAGTGCTTGAAAAATACGACTCACCATCGGCGTGTATTATGCAGAGTGGGCTTGGTAAGTGTGAATCTCCCATTGAGATAAATCCATACTTTAAGTAGGACTCCTGACACTGTATTAAATGTAACCTTCTTTTTCTTGAAAGTCATCAGCTCTTCTTCTGTCTCCTGGCTGTGCCTTTTCCCCTTCCCAAAGAAACTTTGCAAAGACGTTTGTTGTTTACTCATTTTGCTAGCTCCTGGATTTCATTTTAGCGGTAACCTATCACGTGACTGAGAAGCGCGCCTTCACCTGCGTCAAGATTAACATACTGTCGACGGATGTAACAGAGAATCCGGTAATTTTTCAAAATAAAACATTTCAGATTCCAAAATGAATTAAACGGAAGTAATATAAATTTATTCTTTCTGTGCGGCCCGGTACCGGTCCGTGGCCCGGGGGTTGGGGACCACTGCTGTCGGTGATACCCAACTTAAGCTACGTACTAAAACATGAGTTTACTACATGAACATTGCCCCTTTTATGTCCGGGAGTGAGGAGCCTTGCCTGACACCAGCTAGCCAAATTCAAACTAACCTGAGGGTTAATTTTGATGGTGGCAATGTCTAACTTCTTGTCGATGTCTCTGATGCTTGCATCATAAACGTCGCCGTTATGCATCTGGACCTACAAGAGATGAAAAAGCTGCCAGCGGATTGATAATGTGCTTCTCAGTGGCCTTTCAGGTTTTTTGGGGGTTTTTTTTGTGCGTGTGTACCTTCAGATGCTGGCGAGCCGACACAGGCGAGTTGCTGGAGACCACGTGAGCGTTGGTCACAATCAGCCCGTGCTGAGAAATGACAAAGCCCGAGCCGCTCGACAGAGGGATATTGCGGCCGAAGAGGGGATGCCTCGGGTGAGAGTGCGCACAGATCAACGCACGCACACACACACACACACACACACAGCCAGTAATGTGTACCTGAGGAACAGTTCTATGTGGACCACAGCCGGGGCGATCTTCTCCACCACGTCGGCAATGAAGTTGAACTTGTATCGAGGACTGATAGCGCTTGCTGTTCTGACCGTAACGGGAGTACCTGGGTGGGTGCAGTACATGTGTGCAGAAACAGGTTGCGTTCAATGTTCCTGAAGTCATCACACTTTTACTCAACTGCTATGACCGTCAAACGCAATCCCCACTTGGCCTCATTTCAGTCATTGGAAAGCGCGCACACATAACACACACGCACACAGATAGCAACGAAGGAAACAGGAAATCCTTCCAGCCCAAAATTGCGGCCGACTGGCCTTATGTTTGCCTTTAATCACTAACCCTCTATTTTGTCTGGCGTACACACATACAGTGTCGCTGGTGCGTTGCATATGTAAAGGGCGTGGTGAACTAAAAATATAGGACTCTTGTCGTTGTAGATTTTCAGAGATGGGAAGCAAATCAAGATGAGCAACCGTTTCCACAACTCTTGAAGTCTCTGGAAAGTGACAATAAATGTCTCTTGTAAATTTGCCACACCACAGATATGAGTGTTGTAAACAACCCTGCCAAAATTGATTGGTTAAACAAGTAGCCAAGTATATAAAATGATCAAGCAATTGCCACTGTTCTCAAACACTGTGCGGGTGTCCGCAGAATGTGTGAAACCACGCCCGGCTGAAAAATGGATACGATTTCATCCAGCATCTTTCTTCATGCCTACGTGTATTGAAATGCTGAAGTTGTGGAAGCGCTGTATATTCGAGATGCTAGCCACCAGCTCGCGCCCAAGCTAACAGGCTTCCGTGCTTCTCACCCAAGCATGTGGGCGGTAGGCTTCTCCGTGGCATCACCTCTTTCTTGAAAATGTAAATAATGATACACAGAAGATGTATTTTGGAGATGTAGCTATAGCTAGCTAGCAAATTGGAGATGTAGCTATAGCTAGCTAGCAAACGACACACTGGTAGAAAAGGTCTTTGTCAAAATAACAAAGTACTGGACTTAGCAATTGCGCCGGATAACCGCTCATGTAAAGGAAGGTATTTATGTTATTAAATAGCGGGGGAGGGATGCTCGCTGCATCACCGGAGCGCGTTCTGGTGACCGCCAACAAATGAGGAGACCCGAAATGGTGAAAGACAAGACCACACAATTGAGTGTGGCATAGTTGTCAATCATGGCACGTCCTCAGTTATTATCTTCAAACACGTACAATGTATTTAGAAACACCTCTGAATTCACTTTGCAGGGTCTTTCATGTCAAAATCTCCCATTCTACATTTTTCCACCTCCCGCATTCCAAAAGTCAGTCAATTAAAGTGAAACTTGAATCAAACTTCAGCAGCATAGCATCCGGCGAAAGTGATCTGAGGCAACACGATACATGGTCATGTGGGCACTCATGTTGGAACGGGAACCCGCCCGTTCTAACTGGAGATGACGTCAGCCAAGTTAGGTGTCTTTTGGGGAAGATTCTCAGTCCTCCCTGAAGTTTACTTTGCTTTCTTGCCGCTCCGAATGAGTCAGTGAGCAGAAGAATGGCTCGCGCGTCATCGTGGAATGTGCCAAAACAAATGTGTGAGGCAGCTGTTGCAGCCGTCCTCAAAAACACCGTCGCTCTGGAATAACACCCAACAGACTGCAAAAATCACACATCTTTGGTCATCTCTGCGAGGGACGTAAAGCGCCACGCAGAACAGCTCTTAGCGAAGTACATTTACGGACTATAGAAGTACTTTACGTAGTTCAAGTACGGAGTAGAAGAGATCCTGCCTCATGGCACACGGTCCAGTTAACCTTTGTATCACCTCTTGCCATTCATACAATATACTGCTTTCAAGTACCGTATTTTCCGCACTAAAAGGCACACTGAATTATGAGGCGCACCTTCATTGAATGGCCTATTTTGTAATTTTTTTCATATATTACACGCACTGGACTATAAGGCGCAATCTACAATGCATCCACTAGATGGAGCTACAGGTACGTCTTTGTCAGTCTCCGTGCCTTTTCTTCTTCCGTTAGACTCGAAAGGCGTTCATGACCGCCTCCAAAAAACGTACATTAACGTTTACTTCAATTATACGACAAAAATTGAAAATAGAGTAATCCATCAAAACAGAAAATCACAAAATAAATTCTATAGCCCCCCCGACAGAATTTATTTTGGCATTTCCTTGAGCGTAGCGGCAACAGAACGATCAGATGTCAGTAAATTTGAGGAGACTGCATCCACTAGATGGAGCTACAGGTACGTCTTTGTCAGTCTCCGTGCCTTTTCTTCTTCCGTTAGACTCGAAAGGCGTTCATGACCGCCTCCAAAAAACGTACATTAACGTTTACTTCAATTATACGACAAAAATTGAAAATAGAGTAATCCATCAAAACAGAAAATCACAAAATAAATTCTATAGCCCCCCCGACAGAATTTATTTTGGCATTTCCTTGAGCGTAGCGGCAACAGAACGATCAGATGTCAGTAAATTTGAGGAGACTTGGACTGTCTCAGAAGTGTTTGTTATTTATTCCTCTGTTGTGCACTGTATTCACAAAGGAGGAAATCACAAAATAAATTTGTAGTGGAGCTATAGAATTTATTTTGATTTCCTCGCTTGATTTTCGGTTTTGATGCATTATTTTCAATTTTTGTAGTTTCATTGAAGGAATCATTAATTTACGTTTTTCGAGGTGGTCATGAACCCTCTGAGTCGAATGGAAGAAGAGAAAGCAGGAGACAGACAAAGATGTACCTGTATTTATTGAGACTGTGAAAACCATTAACAAAGTGTACGTTTTAAAAAACAACACCACAGATCTCCTTTTTTTCGGAGCTGCAACAAAAACTTACTTAATAAAGCAGAACCACAGTTCACTGAACCAACAGCAAGTTATAACATCGTAAGCATGTCTCCAGCAAGGAGCCATCTTGGGGGTCAACATATTACCGTAATGACCATACACAAGGCGCACCGGATTTTAAGGCGCAACGTGAACTTTTAAGAAAATGGAAGACTTTTCGGTGTGCCTTATAGTGCGGAAAATACGGTAGGTTTTTCCTCTTCCGACTCATTTTCCGACCGCCACTGAAGCATCCAGTAACGGTGTTCTTTTTGTGCTTTTTTTTTTTTGTGTGTGTGTGTGTGTGTGTGTGTGTGTGTGTGTGTGTGTGTGTGTGTGTGTGTGTGTGTGTGTGTGTGTGTGTGTGTGTGTGTGTGTGTGTATTAGTGCGCTTTTTTGTGAGATTTTCAGTCGACAATCAATGGGTGACATGATGTGTTCTGCATTTTGCCCGCTTTTCCTACCTGCACTCGTGTGACATGCTCCAGGTGGAGCCTGGCTGATGGGCTGGAGCCCCCGCTGCCTTGCCCTCCTGCCGGCAGCCTTCAGCTGGCACAAATTGCCGTATGTCTTCCCGTCGCTGCCGCACACCTCCCGACTCAGCTTGCAGCGGCATAAACCCCGTGTCGAGAGGGACAGCCAGAACCCGGCGTCTGGACGTCGGCACTCCAGGCCGTCCCCGCAGGGCGGGCCGTCCCGGCCGCCGCACGGCTCGCCCTCGGCCGCGGCGCACACCAAGCAGCAGTTGCAGCGGTCCGGGACATAGCCATCAGGGCAGCTGGGGCTCGGGCAGGCGCTCACGTCGCACCTCGCCGGACACTCTGCGCCCCGGGATGCCCTCGGGCCAACCAGCACCAACGTCCACACCAACACCAACATCTGCATTTTGGCTTAACTTAAAGACGCACAAAGTGAGTTGCTGGTGGTGCTTGTGGTGATGGTGCTGTCCTTTTGTTGTGTCAAACGCATCGTCCAGCAGCCGCGGGATTTGTTGAGCATCGGCTTTGTCCCGTCTCTGTTTGCAGCGGGAAACTTCCATCCCGCAGCTCGGGAGGAGGAGGAGGAGGCGGCCCCTGAAGGAGGAGCGACAAAGGTTCTGTTTTCAAGTCTCCACTTTCACATCTGTGCTGTCTCCCAGCCTATGCGGTTTGAAGTGCCACAGAAAATGCAGGCAGAACGACTGCGTCCGTCTTTATCCAAACAAGAGTCTAGGGTTTGATCTTTGAAATAGTCCCCATGCAAGACTTTTCAAATTAATTTAGCCACAGTCTGCCTTTGTTTGCCTTTAGGGGTTTGGAAAGTAAACAGACAAAAAGCGTTCTCTTCAAGCTACCTCGAGAAGGTGAGAGGTCTGATTGAGAAAAGTTTTTTTATAAATGTCGGCTCTGGATGAAGTGCTGCGTTCGTTCATGTAGGCATTTCAGTCAAAAAAAAAATCAACAGGCTGTAAAATTTCTTCTGTGTTTTCAGTACACAACGCAAACAAAGGAACCCTTTTGGAGGAAACACTGGAGCTACAAAGTCGATCTATGGTTGAGGGCATGAAAGTGCTGGTGTACATTGGGAGAGCGAGCGACAGCCAACGAGAGCGAGCGACAGCCAACGAGAGCGAGCGACAGTGGCGTTCGTTTGGGGCTCCGGTGGTCGGTGGACCCGGCGGCGGCGGCGGCGGCCAGTGGGAGTGAGTGGCAGCGACGTTCGTCTGGGGCTCCAGCGGTCGGTGGGCCCGGCGGCGGCGGTGACGAGGGCGACGGCAGTGGCTGAACTCGCTCGACCACCGAGGCAGCGTGGGCTAGCGGAAAAACGACCATGTATAGTAAGGCGGTTTTAACCGAAAAAAACGACCATGTATAGTAAGGCATTTTGAGCCGAAAAAAATGACCATGTATAGTAAGGCGTTTTTAGGTGAAAA